GTCTGTCGCATTCCGAAGGAACTCGCGCCCCGCGCCGCAATGCCTGAACCCGCTGAGCGCGCTCTACGAGCCCTTGAGTTACCCGCCCTGGTTTCCCCGCGGCGGCAGCGGATGGAGCGCCGACATGCTCGCGAACGCGGGGCAGCGCCTCGCACAGATGTGGCGGCACCGTTAGCACCTCCCACGAAGCCCACGCATGAATTTACGTGGACTGCTCTTGAACGAGTGGCTCGTAAACACGCACTGCAGGATGGAGGATGAGAGGCTCGGACTTCTTCGCAGAGCACAGGCTCAACGAACTTCCAAACGAGAAGACATGAGCGAGGCCCTCGCCAATGACGCGCCCGCCCCTGGCACGAGTGCATATTTGTCTTCGAGCGTGCCCGGGCCCCCCCGCCACCTACGCAAGCTCCGAATGGACTCCCTGGAGCTTGCTCGGCGAAAAGGCCCGCCAACCTTCTTCATCACGTTGACGTGCAACCCATACTGGCCCGAGATCACTGCCACTCTGCATCCGGGCCAGACAGCAGCAGACCGCCCAGACATCGTGGTCCGCGCATTCTGCGCTCGATTGGAGAAGACGATGGCGCACCTCAAGCGTGAGTTCTGTGGAGACCGCAGGTACGTCATCAGGGTTGTTGATTATCAGCGCAGAGGGCTGCCCCGTGCTCACATTGCCATAGCCCTGACAACGCCGCCAACTGCGCCGGATGCCGTGGACACCTTCGTCTCATGCGAACTTCCACCAGACGGTCCTGTCCGCGCACTCGTCCTTCAACACATGATGCACTCGTGCAACCATTCGTGCCACCCCGACGACCCATCTCAGGCGTGCATCAAAGGGTGCCCGTGGCCTTTCCAAGACGACACGTACTTTGACGAGCGAGGGTATCCACATCACCGCCGCAGACATTGTGGCGGTGACTGCCCCAATTGCGTGTCTGGGACCGCATCTTGCGGCGAACGATCTGCCTGCTGCAACCGGCTGATCGTGGCATATAACCCCACCATCCACCTGCTGTGGGACGGACACGCCAATGTCAAATTCGCAGGGTCCGTCAACCTGTTCCAATACCTTTACAAATCCCTGTTCAAAGGACCAGACTTTGTCAAGTGCGAGCTCCAGGAGGACACTGGCAACAAAGACGAGATCAAAGAATGGCAGCGTGGCCGTTATCTTTGTGCCACGGAATGCGCGTTGCGCATGTTTGGCTACACTACGTATGAACGCATCCCTCATGCGGTTTGTCTACCAGTGCATTGCGAAGACGAAGATTGGATCACCTATGCCGCTGGACAAGTAGAGGACGCCGTGCAATCGTTCATTTCGTTTTTGCAACGCTATTTCCACCGGCCCAAGTTCGAGCCGTACCTCTCCCCGAAGTACTACGAATATTTCGGGCGCTTCATGGTGGCCAAATCTTGCCCGCCAGCCTTGCAGCACCACTTTCCCGACCTCTTCCCACGGGCTGCGGCGCCTTCGGCGACCCCCCCGCCGGACGGGGCCCTGGCGCCCGTGCTCGACGCTGCCCCCCCAGGTCGGACCCACTTCGTCTACGAGAAGCAACGGGGCGAACATCCTATATGCAGGCTCGAAATGTAGTGCCCCAAACAGAGAGAGATGTTCTACCTCAGACACATACTGTTGAACTGCCCAAAACCAAGCTTCGCCGACTGCAAAACCCACGCCGGCCGGAGGTACCCCACTCATGAGCAAGCCCTTGTGGCGACCGGGTATTTTGCGACAGCTGACGAACCCGCGCGGGTGCTCCAGGAGTTAGTCGAGCTTCGATACACTGCCGCTCAACTACGCTTCGCCTCCGTCGCGTTGCTCGAGCAGGACGCGTGCGCCGCGACGCTGCGCAACAAGTTCGAGAAGCATCTCTTCGGTGATCTCCGCGATCGCGGGCTCACTCTCGATTCTGCCCGCAAAGCTGCATGCGACGCTTTGCGCCTCTCGTGCCAGTCCATTGGCAAATCGTTCACGCTGGAAGAAGACAAACCTGCACGGTCTCAACCATCCCCAGCATCAGACACCTCTGCGGCGCCATTTCCCCCGCAAGAAGCGCAATCCCGCGCGAAGACCATCTACAAGACCCTTGCAAAGGATCCGAGTCAGACCGACGCCGTCAAAGCGATAATCGCGCCCATCCGCGCCGGGGCCGAGAAGTATTATTTCGTCCGCGGCCCCGCTGGCAGAGGCAAATCCACCGTCGCCAGCTACATCACTTACGCTGCTTTGGGGAGTGGACAGGGAGTCGTCAACATGGCCACGACAGGAGTCGCGGCCCTGCAATTGCCCTTCGGCGCCACGGCGCACTCTGTCTGCAAGATTCCGGTGTCTGACGAGGACGTCCTCACTTGCTCTCTGCCGATGAGCTCCCAAGGTGCCCGTACCCTCGCCACGGCGTCTGTGCTCCAATGGGATGAATGGCCAAATGCTAAACGACCTGCGTGGGAGAGCGTCCTCAAACTATTGGACCAGATTCAACAGCACCACACTACCATCTGGAAGAACAAGGCTTTCGTCTGCTATGGGGATTTCCGCCAGATTCCTCCTGTGGTGAAAGGAGGCACGCGGGACTCTATCGTCAACGACAGTGTTCGGAAATCTGTACATGGGAACTTTTCACGACTTACGCTTTGCAGGTGAACCACCGACAACACCGCGACGTCGACTACGCTACCTGGGTTGCAAGCGTCGGCGACGGCACAGCCCCGTCGACACATCATCTCTCCGATGAGCCCGGGCGCTACCGCGCACTCGCCTCGCCTCGCCTCCGCTCGCACATTTCCCACCCACCTCATTGAACAATTGTGTTCTCGCCCGCGCCCAGAAACATCGTAGGTGCAAGGATCAAAATTAGAAGCCGAAGCGCAGCGACCCTTAACATCTTGTGTATATATATATATATATATCGACACCAGATGCAGTGATTTTGCAGAATTCCCCTTGTGATATCGAACATGGTCTCCCCGAGCTGGAACATCGTGTTTCCACATGTCCAGGCCACCCACAGAGGTATCTAGCATGGTGGCCCCCAGCTGGAACCACGTGCTTTCACTTGTCCAGGCCACCCATGGGGGATATCGAACATGGTGTCCCCGAGCTGGAGCAACGTGTTGTTACTTGTCCAGGCCGTCCAAGGGGGGGAGTATCGAAGAAGGTTGCCTCTTGCCCCTCGCTGGAACGACGGGTTTAAACATGTCCAGGCCGCCCAGAAAGGTGTATAACATGGTGGCCCCGAGCTGGAACCACGTGCTTTCACGTGTCCTGGCCACCCGGAAGGGGCATCTAACATGATTGCCCCAAGCTGAAACCACATGTTGTGACGTGTGCGGGCCACCCAGGGGGAGGGGGTATTTGAAACGTGGTTCTTTGGGAGCCCCCAGCGTGGGGGGCCACAAGAGCCAGTCAAAATGTATCAATCGGCACCAGATGTGTAATAACCTAACATCGTTTCGTCGGCTGGTGATTTTACAGATTCCCCCGGGATATCTCACATGATGTCAGTGTCCCCGAGTTGGAACAAAGTGTTTCCACATGTCCAGGCCATTCGTAGATGTATCTAGCATTGTGGCTCCGAGCTGGAACCGCGTGCTTCACGTGTCCAGGCCACCCAGAGGGAATATCTAACATGTTGGTCCCGCGCTGGAGCCGCGTGCTTTCACGTGCCCAAGCCACATCACGCCACCTGGGGGGGGTATCTAACATGGTGGTCCCGAGCTGGAACCACGTGTTTTTACGTGTCCAGGCCACCCAGGGGGTCTATAACATGGTGGTCCCGAGCTGGACCACGTGTTGTTACGTGTCCAGGCCGTCCGGGGGGGGGGAGTATCTAAGAAGGTTGCCTCTTGCCTCTCGCTGGAAACATGTGGTTTCATGTGTCCAGGCCACCCAGAAAAGGTGTCTAGCATGGTGGCCCCGAGCTGGAACCACGTGTTTTCACATGTCCAGGCTACCCAGAGTGATATCGAACATGGTGGCACCGAGCTGAAACCACGTGTTGCTACGTGTCCAGGCCACCCATAAAAGGGGTATCTAGCACGATTGCTCCGAGCTGGGACCATGTGTTGTTTACGTGTGCGGGCCACCCACGGGGGGGTACCTAGCGTGTGGTCGTCTGGGCGCCCCCAGCGTGGGGAGGCTCACAAGAGCCAGGCACAGTCAATCAGTCGACACCAGATGTGCAATGACCTAACACAGTGTCTTCGGCTGGTGATGTTCCAGATCTCCCACTGGGGTATCTAACATGGTGGCCCTGAGCTGGAACCACGTGTTTTTACGTATCCAGGCCACCCAGGTAAATATCAAATGTATTGGTCCCGAGCTGGAACCGCAGTCGCGGTCGTCGCCGTCGCCGTCCGCCGTCGTTGTCGTTGTCGGCGTTTCGGCTTGCCTTTTCTCGATGCATTCGCCTCGTTGTGAACTCGCCCTTTTCATTTCGCCCTCTTGCGGAACATAGGTAATCCGTTAATTCGGTTTAGATTATTGCAATCAGTTCTGGGCGGACAGTGCGCCCAGGCAGCTCGAGCTTGAGGCCCAGCTCAGTTCTGTCAGGATTCGGATGCCAGGGAAGAGTTGATCCACGACGCAACAGAGCACAGAATTGCTTAGGTTCGCCCCCTTTCGGCTCGGCTCTTCCCGCTTCCGAACGGAATCGGATCTTGAGCTCGAGCTGGTCGAGCGCCCCGCCGTTTCGATTGCGGCCAGATCAGAGTTGTGCGTTCAGGCAGCTCGAGCTTAAGATTCGGATCAGTTCGACCGTGACTCTGACGCCACGGACGACCTGATCCACCATGCAATAGAGCACAGCATTTCAACGTGGCCTGGCGGGCCTCATACTACATTGCTTGCACAGTCACAGTGCAAGTTATCATTAAGTGGGGTCTACGGTAACAAACATGCAGCCGCAATCGTAAAGCCTGTACGCGATTATAGGTTGCAGATCACATAGGTAAACGCTTTTCATCCGTGCGCAGACGTTCTCAACCACCAGGTGATAGACGCCGTTGACATGAATGTGTCGCAGTGGCCGAACGGCTGCAACTACTTCAAGAGTGCCAAGGAGCCCTGCTTTGATGTGCTGAAGCAGCGGCGGTCTGAACTCTTGGAATATCTATTGTGGTGATGCCCCCTCCCCTTTCCTCCAAAGTATATATTCTTCCTCAGTCCTCCTTGTCTTGCCCGTCCTTCTGTATCCGCCGTCTTCCATCCTCTCTCTCTCTCTCTCCTCTCCTTCCTTCCTCGTCCCCTGGTCCCCATGTTCCTTCCCCCATCCCTCCTCCTCTCTCCCTCTGCCTCCCTTTTCCCTCCCATCTCCGCCTTGCCGCATGCTCCAGGACTTGGCCACACGCGCAGGCAGGTAGATGCTTCCCAGAACGGGCGCGGGCCCACGGTTTTCTTTTATATGATACTCTGTCCCCGGTGCCGAGCTCGAGATGGGCCAGCGGATTTCCGTTCGATTATTAGCGAAGTCACGTTTCATCGTGTGTCGAAAAATAAAATTTCGCGCGTGCCCGCTCGAGGAAAGTGCGCCCCCAATTTCGGATCCTCGATAAAGAACGGTGTCCGCAGACCACCGCTTTCCTAAGCAAAAAGGACGGTGCGGAGCGTTTTGCGCAAACCCTTCAATAAAAAGCAGTTTGGATGGAGGCTCTGCAAATTTTTACATGAGATGGGCAACTTTTTGCCTGCCCGCTCGAGGACGGCGCGTCCTGCGCGCAGAATGTTCCAGGATGTCTCGAGCGAAGCGCTTGTTTTGCAGAACTTGAGGGGCCTGGGCGTTCCAGGATGCGCAGGCGGTTCTGGGAGTGCGCTCGCACCGTTTCTTACCAGGGATCGGGGCCACGGGACTGCGGACGCCGCTCAGGAAGCCAAATAGAGCTGGAACCACGTGCACAGGAGTCAGATCCGAACGAAACCTAGCTTGAGGGGTCCTCGCATACCGCCTGTCCGGCCCCGCCGCCCCGGCCAAAAGCCAGGGGGAAGGGGGGGCGGGTGAGGCGCCGGGCGCGGGCAAGGACGCCTGCCGATGAGGACGCCGGACGACCAGGACGCCGCGGCATTTACGACTGCTCCTGGCCCCGGGAGCGCCTAAAACAGGGCTAGGATCGGGATAAATCGCTCCAGAGCGGCCGCGGCGCCCAATACATCCTCCAAACCCGCCGATTCTCAGAGATTTCGAGTTATCCCGATCGGATTTTGTCCCGATCGTCGCGTCGTTTTAGCGCCGACGCCCCCGAGTCTACCCGGGATCCTGGCCCCGGGGAGAGGCGGGCAGAGAGTACTGTACTGTTGCTCCTGGCTCTGGGAGCGCCCGCGCAGCATAGTCTGCGAGGGGTCCTGTCCCTGGGAGCGCGTTTCGGGTGCACTCCCGGGGAGGAGGAGGAGGAGGAGGAGGAGGAGGAGGAGGAGGAGGAGGATCCGTCGTGTTTTAGGTGCACTCCTATGGCCTGCCCGTCTGCTGGGGCTCGAAGATTTCGCGTGTTATGAAAATGCCCATAGAGTGCCCCTCAATCCTGTTGTGTGCTTACGTGTGTTCCGATACGTTGCCCCTCTCTTGGGGCTCGACTCCCCAGCGTTTTGCGTGTATTCCTATCGATTGACCTTCCCCTGCGGCTCGGATCCTGCGTTTCTTCCGCATGGTCTTGTACATTCCCCCTTTCCAGGGACTCGAATCCTTTTTGCGTTTCCCGCAGATTCCAATGTGTGTTGCTCTTCTCCTGGGGTTCGAGTCTTTACAGTTTTATGTATATTCCAATAGATTGCTCTTCTCCTAGGGTTCGGATCCTAAGCGTTTGACGTATATATATACCAGTAGATTCCCCCTCTCCAGGGGCTCGAACCCTTAGTGTTTTACGCGTATTACTATAGAGTGCCCCTCCCCCAGGGCCCCAATCCTTAGCATTCTACGCGTATCCTTGTGGATTGCCCCTTTCCTGGGACTCGAACCCTGCGCGTTTGACAGAGGTTCCTATAGCTTGGCCCTCTCCTCCTGGCCCTTGGGGGGGTTGCGGGCGCAGCACGATTTATCTTCAGGCTTACGCCACATCCGCCTACCCCTTAATTGAAGTCAATGATCAGATGGTTCGAAACCGTTTGGCGGTCGTTTTGGGGCTCTTGTCGGGTTTCTTGGGAGCTCTTCGGGGCCTGAGGGGGGCATCTTCGGGGCTGTTCGGGCTACTCCTGGGCTCGTCTTCGAGCTCTATTGGGCTTCTTTGGGCTCTTCTTGGGCTGCTTTGGCGTCCGCACGCTTTACTCTGTGTCGTGGCCCCGGGGGAGCATGGGCCCAGCGCAGTGCTTCGAGGGAGCGCGGCCTCGGCGGCGCGGGCGTGGCGTGGTGTACACCGGGGCGTGGCCCTTGGGTGCGCGGGCGCGGCATGATTTACGAGTGATCCTGGCCCTGGGAGCGCGGATGCAGCATCGCGGGGTGTGTACGTTCAGACCCTGGGCCGCCCTCGGATCCTCGGGGGGGGGGGGGAGAAGGAGGGGGCAGA